TTTCCTAATTGCATCCTCTCGACATTTACCAATTTTTACTCTCATATTTTACGCGCGATATTATTTCGCGGACGCTGCTGCTAGGAATAACTCGACGAAAGTTACCCAACAATGATAAAATCGGCATCGTTTCGAGTTCGATCATTCCCGCATAAATGTCTCGCGTGCATTTATCGCGTTTCGCAAGAAATATTATTGCGCGTTCCACGACGTGCCCTCCAATAAACAGCCGAACCAAGCCACAGAAGCGAGTGCCTTAATATCCGTTACGCTAACCCCGCTTCCGGTTCTCGACAGAACACGAACTCGATATCGTGAAACGAAAACAGACGACATCGCTGCGAGCTATATCGCGAAAGACGCGTTAGAATCGATGTCGAATATCGTTTGAAAAATTGCAGTCACTGAAATTTCACGGATATCCAATCGCCTTTACTCCGCTTCGATGTTTTCCATAAATTAATCGATTCGACTCGCACGAGTTTCATATCCTAAGTTTGTTCGTATCCTAAATTTATGACACGTTATCTACTCCTACATTACTGGAATATCTTAACCTGCAGACACGTACACTTCGCGTACGATTATCCCTGTTGTAGTAGTTTAAAAGCACGAAATCTGGCAGCTGAAAATTTGACGAGTTCAGAGCCGAAAAGATATGCACACAACCGGAGGAATATGAAAAATTGAGGAGGGTTGAATCAGAAGCCACGCGATTGGTATGTACGTGCACGTCTCGCTACGGTGTCAGATCGAGGCTCGCGATGGGGCTCGAAAGTCACGGAACAGCAGTAACGCGTATTTGAGGGTGCCAGGATGGTCGGGGGTGAATATATCGGTGGGAACGCGGCAGAAACGGAATTACCGTGAAATATGCAGCAAACTCTAGTGCACGCGATATTCTTTACGCCGGTGATAAATCATCCCCGTCGAAAACGCGAATTGTTGGAATCGTGTTCGTAGTCCTCGGGTTAGCTCGGTTACACGTTGCCCTCGTATAACGTTGCGTGCCACGATAAAACCTGTGTAATCGTTAATTTCCTGTTCTCTACTACGCAGATAAAATTTCACTCGATATCGTGTACTTACGCGCGAGTTACAGTAACGAGAATGGTTAGCCATTCGTTTTTTTTTATGTCGGCTACGAGGAGAAGATAACCGGAATATGATAAATATTGAACAAAGCGAATACGAATTCTTTCTCATTTGTAAATCCTCGCAGTGTTAAATTAATTCCGTGCACGTTCCTCGTAATCAATCTCTATGTGTCTGACAAGTAATTATCGAGCGAAAGAGTGCCAGTAGTACGAGTCGACGCGTGGTCAGCCGACTCCTTCGTTTTACAAAGATCCAATACTCCGCGTGTTTCTTTCGTTGCACAGTGTTAAAAATATAATTCGCTAGAATTTTCAGCAATAAATATCGCGATAAAATAATATCCGGTGAGAATATGCGGCAATAAAAGAGAAAGATGTATCTCTGAAATCGCAGCAGTTTGTTTTCTGGCATGATTCTCGTATTCTTTTCTGGCATCGCTTTCGCATTCAACGGTAGAACCTTTTAAATCGAGATTTCTCAGCTGCGTCTCGGGGTTTTTGCATCGAGCGTTCGTTAAACGTTTCTAGGAAAAACATTTACACCAGAACGACAGGAAAAACGAAAGCTTCTTACGGTAATCGAATTTTCACGCGGGCGTCGCGAACGGTTCTTTCAGGATAGAATTTCTTTTCATTCGGGACTCTGTTCATTTTCTTTCATTCGCCAATCATCCACCATTAAAGCACTCCTATAAATCTCTTCTTGCGACGAATCCGAAACTCACGCAAAAAGAAAGCGGGCGAAATACTCTCTCGCGATAAGTAGAATAAATCAACCTACGGTCAAGCAGTTTTTTAATTTCAACTAACCTAACGTTAAAAACACTTTGTTGACTAGCGAATTTTATGTTTAAAAAATTATTTAAATTGTCAATGAATTGCTGATTTTTATACCGCAAGAATTATAAAGATCGTATCCTACTTTAAAAATCTGTATTTGAGACAACACGCATTCCAATTTCGATTTTGTAGTTCGGACAGGGCTGACAACTGCGGAGGATTAAACCGGTTAGCCGGAGAACCACCGTGGACTGTGACTGATGAATGAAATCCGGGGTGGCCGACCTTATTTCGCGTCAACCCTTGCCTCAACCTCTCCCCGGAGCCGCTGTATTCCCTTTGCAACCCTGCTCCGACCACCACCCACCTCCACCGAAGCTTCGGGTCCACACAGTCTGCCGCACTACTGACGTAACATACCTACCCCTCTTCTGACGTCACGACCCAGGGAGTAACGTGGTAACTCTTCCACGGGGACAACGTCCTGTTTCCCCTCCCAGCCCCACGTAGCCCGCTTCACCCCTATTTTCTGCTGGTTCCTTTTTCGAACCGCTTCACGCTTCGTTCATTGTAGGATAGGTGGTTCCGACAATTTTCCGGGATTATTAGATTAACGTGGCCGGACTTACTTTAATTGGCTTTCCTTTTTCTTACGGTGACGGTCATTCGGACTAATTATTCCAACGATATAATTACCGATTTCGAACCTTAATAATAATAGTAATAGACTTTCGAGAGAGATGCGGGAATGTTTAACGGTGTTCGGAAAGAATCGTCGAACTTCAGATACAAAGTTAATATTTGCGAATTGGAAAGTGCAATGGTTCGTTTGTCGTTCAAGTTCGCAACAAAACGATACCGCGAGTATTTAAAGCAGAATCAAAGGAATAATCGAGGAACTTTAATTAAGGTTAATTCGTGTTGAAGGAAGCAAAGGAGGGAGGGATGAGAGACAGCCTGGTTTTACTCGGCGAACGCTGGAAACTTCAAAGTGCCTCGCGCCAACCTCATCCACCTTTATCGACTTCCTGACGAATGAAAAGAAGCTCGGCTCTGATGTAATTAAACGATTCCTTCGGGCAATATACCTTTCGGCCACCCATTCTCGTTATCTGACCCTCCTGAAAGACGCACCTTCGTCGCGAAGAAAGACGATTCAGTTTAAAAAGAACGAATCTTTTTTAACTTTCTTAACTGCTGCGCGGAACAAACATTCCTGATGAAAACTTCTCGACGATCACCGCCGGCTTAATGCTGCTTCGCGCGTTTATTTTTCATACTGTACATAATACCGATTATTAAAAAGCATATTAAAAATTAATCCGATATTAGAGATTAAAAATTGCGCGACGAAATATCGTATAATACGATGAAACGGTTCCATGTGTGTTCGATCGAACTACCTAATTGGATCCGGTCGAACCGAATCGCGTCCAAATCAACTCGCGAATAATCGAACGCAATTTTCTCTCGTTCGATAATTGTTCAGATAGTTTTTCAAGATCCCCCAATTTCAGGGTCGCTGGCAGCCTAGTATCATGACCCACCCGTTTTCTCATAACCCCCGAAGTTTCATCAAAATTTCGGTTCGCTGCTTCGCAAGCGTTTCTCCTCGAGGTGTGCCTCAAAGTTTCCAAGGGTTCGCGAGGTTGCATTCGATTAACCGCAAGACGTAACTGTGCGACAAGAAACTGGGAAATTGACTGAAGACTCGGTTTGCGAAGGATCGTTTATTAATGCTGATCCGTTGCGGGTTATTTTTCAAGTGTTCATGGCCTGGCTATAAACGTGGCCCTCTTGTTTCTACTTCAACTATGAACTGCCTTGAACTGAAAAATAAAACGCTACGTGTAACGTATACATGCGTAACACGGTATCCGGTAATTATCGAAAAGCTTTTAACAAGAGAACGAGTTTGTTCCGTATTTTCGATTCGCTTTAGCGAAATCGACAGCCTCGTTAATTATTGCGTTAATCATTCTTCAGCTCCTCGTATGCATTTCGAATTTGCATGTCCGTACAAGGAGCGAATTTGAAATTTAAATCGAAAATAAACTAATGGCCTACGGGTCGTGTTCTGGGCGCCCAGGAATTTCGGACTTTAATTAAATTATTCATAGAGGAAGACCGACGCTACTTCTCGAACGTCTGTAATCCTTTATTCGGGATTAATTTCCCGAGGAATTCGTAATTATCCTTTGTCTCTTCGCTAACGATGACTCGCCAATTTATTCACGGCTTTTTCTTTCGATCTAAAAAACTTGATACGTATTTCTATCGTTACGTGACGTTTATAAAGACTCATTTGCAGTTAGCGACAATCTATCGATCACGACGAAATAATTAATATCAGTGAAAAAATAATGAAAATAGAAAGATATAAGATTTCCAAGTTGAATAGACGTCCCATAGGAATCGTCCTTAACCTCATGATCCGCGACTGCACATGGCCCTAATCAAATACTCGATATTAATTACCGCGAAAACGACTCTTTCGTCGGGAATCTGAGCAACGAGTCTTCGATTCTTCGTTTACGTTCAGTTACAGTGTTTAACTTACCGATTGCCGAAGTCAGATTGAATTTTCACTGTTTCTTGTTATCCTTCGTCTCCTACCCCAACTTCTTTGAAATGGTTTTCCTCAACCTTCCTCGATTACCGAACAATTGCTAACTAGGTGGAAGTGTAACTGCTTCTTTCGTTGCGTTTGTTTAAACACGGAAGTGCTCCATTATTCTCCGTCAATTAATTAAGAATCCCCTTTCTCCCGATTGATATTCCAAGTTCGATATCGTCTTCTACCGTTACACTTTTTGTTTTTCCGACTGCCATTTGGATTTAAATTGCAGTCGGAAGTTTGGTAATATAGGATATAGAATTGCAAATATGGAGACTCGGAGATGTAGATGTAATACCGGGATTTGGGGATCTAGGAACTTAATCGTGTCAAATACGCAATTAAATTGATCAAATTCACAAGTTTGCAAACTGGAATATCCGGATAAGTCCCGCCAGCACTCGTGGATGTATATCCAATGTTCCTTAACAAGGAAATGTATTATACCAGAAAAAGAAACGAATAGAAGAGTGAAAAGGTTAATGCGAGTATTAACGTTGTTGCAGGTGAGGAATTGTGGATTGCTGGTGTAGGAGTTCGGCCCCAGGTGTGGCCCAGGGGTTACCCTGGGGACCTCGGGGATCTGTAGGCGCGAGGACGAGGCTACTAAGAAGGACGAAGGACACGGGAGGCGGAGGAGGCCGCTATGAACGCCAGCGTCAACATCGAGAGGAACTCCTGGCGGCTGCCTCCCGACGAGACCGTCCAGGTCGCCGATCCCCGTTCAAAGTCAGCTCAGGTAAAAGAGGTAAATCGCTCCAGCGAGTCCGTCGTGCGTTCGATACCCCCCTCAATTGATCAGGATTCGGCCGAAACACGTGATCAATCAGTGAGATCTCGAAGCATGAATCTACGTTGTGCCCTTTCTCTTCGTTCAAAGCGTCATTTAGACGATATTCTTCTAACATTTCCACACCTAGCATAGTGCACGGAGACACGTGTAACATATCGGTGCATGGAGGATGCTCGAGAGGATCGTTTAGGATGTTTCCATTCAATAATTATTCTGTGTAATGTTGCATGAAGCGTAATTGTGCGACAAGGCAGGGTATATTATATGCACCTTGCGTGATCGACTAGCGTTTCTGTTTACACGAGTACGATGTTTATTTTAATGCAATCGTAGGGATTGATTCACCGTCTATCACGCGATTGAACAGCATGTTGATACGAGGAATGAATGAAATTAACCGATATGGATTATGGTAACATGTTGCAAGGACACTGTACAGATATCTCAGCAAACTTTGAACACACCATCGATACACAAGATTCTCCGATAGATACATTAACACCCGATTAATCGTCGCTACAAAAGAACTACAGAGAATATCAGAAAATGTAAATTCGCAAGATCCGAATTTTACATCGAAACGAAGATCGATCGGAAAGTTCTACAGGGATGTCGTTCGTTAAGATTAAATCAATCAAATTACCCTTTAGAAACCTTCTCACCCGACCGTAACTCGAAGAAGTTAAAAGGGCACGAGTCTTCCTCCAACTTTCATTAGCTACTTCGTCTCGAAGAGATGACTCGGGTTTTACGAGCACGTTTCCGCTTCAGACTCGAACCATTGTACGGATTTTATCTCGGAGCAGTGAATTCTTTAATTTCGAATTAACGAAACGATTAATGCAATTAAAGTAAATGACCGGGAACAAAAGAGATCGTCGTTCCCGAACGATACCAAGAATTAGGTTGCACCGCTAATTACAAGATTCTCTAGAAGTTAGTCTCTAAAGCTTCGAGGCAGTTAAACTGTTATGATTAATGGAATAAAGTGTAGATTCTCAAACAAGTGGATTATACTCGTAAGTAGTCGGACAAGTGGGATAGACCCATCTAAACTTCCCCTGTTGCACCCGAGTATACGACGGTCCCATAAAGCGATCAGACAAGTGGAATAGGATTACGGATATCCAAATGGTGCTCCTCCGCTAGTGACCAAACGATAGAAATAGAATCGGGAGTGACACAACTCGGTAACCTAACTGACTAGTTGAGAGTAATAAGTAGAACAGGTCAATTGGTGGTTACAGCGTTCTAATTAATAGAATCGGGTCTGTATGTAGCCAGACAAGTAGAATAGAGCCGTAAGTGATCGGACAAGTGAAATAGACCTGTAAGCGGTTAGACAAGTACAATAGAGCAGTAATTGGTCAGATAGATGGAATAGGATCGTGAACAGTCAGATAAATGGCGCAGGTCCGTAAGTGGTCAGACAAGTGGAACAGGATCGTAGGTGTTCGTGCAAGTGGAATAGCCCTGTGAATGGTCAGACAAGTAGTATGGGCGATCGAGTGAGCAGACGAACTAGCCATATCTAATCACTAAATGTTACCGCGTCGGTTAACGCTTTATCCGCTTGCAAACGTTCGAATTATATTACTTTTGTTCAGTTCCACCCTGTAGGAGAGGAGTTTTCGAAACTGTGTCAATTCCACCGGTATACGATCAGAGTTAATACGTATAACTGCATCCGTTTCTCGTTAATGATCATTCCTCGAATATATCGCGTGAAAATGGCTTCGATTTAATTATGCAAAGTCGGGAGAAGAAGGCAGCGAACGGACCTAGCCGCGCCATCTCGAGATGGAAAACCGTTGCGTTCGAAAGGAGTGCGAGCTGCTGATAAGCGAGAACCGATTTTCTCGTCGTAATTCTCGGCGGTAACCCAGTATCGTCGGAACGTATATTTACCCCCGAGTCCTCCACGGAATTCTCGCACGCGGGTATTCGTTCGTTGATTGATTCTTGGGACAGATTGATATTTCTTACGGTTAAGAAGCTACGAGTTAGCGTCGCCTTGGATACGACTATTCGTATTATGGCGATAAAAGTCTTGATACGAAGAGTTCGACTCTCGGGCTGACTGCTGTTGAGCTATACCACTTGTCGGATCAGCTGTGTGTACCACGCACTCCTTCTTCCAACAAGTGGCAATTCAAACTCACCGCGTGATTACCAAAGGGATCGCATTAAAAAACGCCGATCCATCATCCGCTCGACTGTAAATGAGTACTAGACGAACATCGTTCACCCTAATGTATTCACGATCAAAGTCCACAAGAAGAAAATTGAAATGTCACATTGATTACAAGCTCTGTAGAATTTTCTAGTGCATGGGATCTCTCTAGAGTCTCTGTTGATTTTCAGTAGAAATCGATACAGCTATCTGCGCGAACCTTCGAAGGCGTATTGTCATTAACCGCCGAGAAGAATGTGACGAAGGGACGATCAAAGGTACATTCTTGCGACGAAAGTAGAAGTTTGGAAATAGTTTCCGCGGAGGAATGTCACGAATGCTAGAACCGTACACGTATACGGCTCTCTCGTAGAGGATATTATTTATAAAGCAAAGTGTCGGTGAGCGTCGCGTACGCGCGCGATTTCCATAAACGACGAGTCGAGGCGTTGGAATGCCCGGATCGATAAGAACGAAGCCTTCGCGGGGCGGGAAAGTCTAAATTTATACCGACTGTCGGATATACAGCCGCGTGTTTGGATAACATTTACATGCCGCGCGACATACAGTTGCAAGCGTGTACCGCGAGCGTGTAAATTTTCAGACGCATGCAGATTTATTCATGGAAGGTCCGCGCGGCACGACACGGCCTAGGACGACCACCGCGCTCCGTAGGCCGCAAACTGTGCCCATAATCGGAGGAACTGGTTGCCCGAAATAATTTTCCTCGGTTTCCGGTGCACGGATTGTTTCAGGCCGAGCGGACAACCGCAACGATGTTATGCCCGAGCACCGAACGATAATTTCGCCGGAAAGTAAAGTTGAAACGTTCTCGGATCAAATTCTCTGCTCCAGATAATCGACCTTCAACGGATCGATTAAACGCGCTCATTAATTAACAGCCTCCGTACAAGATATTTCCCGATCGCGGATCAATATTTGCGTACGAAAAAAGCTAATCGAATCGCGTCGGTTCTAGATGAATTCTAATAATAGTACGAATTGAACGCGAAAGTTTCAGATCCTTTGAAACGATGTCGCTATTGTGTATCGAATTCAGCAGAAACGTCGACAGGAAAATCCTTTCGACAAAAGACGAAGCGGCTGAAAACTGGTTTCTCCCTCTAATTGGTCACGGCTGACAGCTGCAACCTCTTCTCTTTTCGACCGGAAAGTAACGACAACGACACCTTTAACGACTGCCGACTCCCGACAATCCATTAATGACTCCGCGACGCAATCTCGCGGAACATCTTTGGCACCGACTTTTGCCAACGAGTCAGTACTTTTGCGATAATGAGAATGCCACCTCGAGAGATGTCATCGAACACGCGAGTAAACCTGTCTGCAGAAAATGTATCCGACATCGGGGAGTTGTTGTCCTGTCGATAAGACGAGCTCGGTGCAGTGCGACACTGGTCCACTGGGAGATCACTCGTTGCCGAAGATTGCGCTAGATTCTTGTCGACTGACTTTCCTGAATAAATTAGATTAGCTTTCATCGCGCGAATCCATTTATTTCTGTTTAATCTTCGAATATCGCCTAACCTAATTACACGCAAGAATAGCATCGTTGCATTCTCAGAATATTTTTTGATCGATGTCATACCGTGTCGTCTGACGAGCGATCAAGTTACTTTTGTAGTACAGTGTGTCGTGGATCCCTTTGAGACGAAAAAGCCGTGACACCCCAGTCAAACTGTAACCGCAAAAGCAACAATGGCCGTCCCCTTGTACGTTTCGTCGTCTCTGTTGCGTGTTATCTGTGGCTGCCGTTGATGAGGAGCCTCCGCGAACACTTTGATGTCCACTTTGAACATCCACGAGATAATTGAAGACCGGATAATCAACGGAGGACGGTGAAACAGTTGGACGGAAGCCTCGCGCGCTCCAGTTTCGTCGGGGACGTCGAACACACATCCTACAGGAAACAGGGTACCCTTGCACCTTTCTTCCGGATAACGAATGTCTCCCTAACGAACGGCACAGTGCTGCCCTCTGTTTTGGTCGATAACGTCTGTCCAAGATACCACCGCCGTTTCTTCGGGACATTATCTGCGGGTTAATCTCGATTCGAGGGCAAATTCGGGCCAACGGTTGTCTGTCCCGATAGTGCTGGATAAATTTGGAACCGCTTGAAACTTTAAATTATTCGATACCCACGCCGAGACTGTCGTAACCGCGATAAAAATTCTAGAGACTTGCTCTTTGTACCGGGTATTCCTGTAATCATTCCACGAAATTCGCTGTATTTTGTCTGGGGATAACTTTAGCGACGTTTGGAAATGGAATTTGGTCGCTGAGGCGATGAGATAGATTCGTAATGGCACATTCAGATTTTAGGATTAGGATTTCCGAGGCTGCGAGAGCTCCGAATTTTGACACTTGAACTGCCATCAAATATTTATCAACAGTAACATTAGCATCGCAACAAAGAAAGCACATCGGTAAATCGTTAATCCCATGCGCGATTAAATAATTAATCGAAGCATGAATCCCATTTGCAATTAAATAGCTGTCAGCCGGTTATTAATTACAGCTGTACATAGAACGAAAAATTTAATCATCAACAAACATTGATAATTAAATATTTCGGTTACCGCAACCACTGATCGTTAATTATACAGCCACTGTTGCCTTGTTTGCAAATATTCGCATTAGCAATTCTCTTTGACTCGCAAATTCGAAGCGAAACGAGTTGAGAATTGTGTTTGCAAGAAAATGAAACGATGTATTTTAAAGGCAGCTTGTTATAAATTGGGAGTATGTATTTTTCGTGTCG